TTGGCAAAGCGACACTCACATTCAATCTGACCGATCAAGTTTAGACTCGTACCTGATGCGCTCTTCGCTTTATGGTTAGTTGGTTTAATGTCAGGTGAACCGATAGCTTTCCATAAGTTTTCCGTAATGACTGTAATATCGGAAGCCGTATCAATCTGCAGACGCGCTACTCTTCCGTTGATGGTAATAGTGACGAACCTTCTTCTATCTTTAACATCGTCCTTATGGTTAGCGTTTACTCTTGTCGCGAACCTTCGGTATCCTGCTTTTCGAGTATCACATGACGATCTAAATGATGTTTTGAATCTGCAGTGGGTCTCCTTGTGCCCCCGTCTAAAGCACCTTTGACAAACATGTTTGCTGAAAGGACACCATCTCACAAAATGCCATCCTCCGCATTGCCAGCAAGGTGATGGGGGTTTGGATTGTGGATATCTGCTAGGTTGAGCGGTCGGTGGGTTGTTTCCTGAAATTTGCTGGACAGATATATCTGCGGAATGTGCTCTCGAATCTTCCACCATAGCCTTATCGTGCTTTAAATTCATGATTCTTTGGGCTTCAGCAATGGCGTTTTGTAATGTAACATCTGTGTCGCGTTCCAACATACCAAGTATTCTCGTTCGTATCTCGGCGTCTTTTGGGGACTGTAGACTGCATACTAGTATCAAACACTCGAACTGGTCATCCGTGAGCGACTTCAGTTTGAATTTCTGGCATTCACGTTTGACTATCGCCGCGTGAGCAATAAGACTGTCATTGTCCTTTTTGCATAGCTTTAGACAATTGTATCGGTTATTGAAAAGAGACGACTGGTCTCCAAACAACGCTGTAAGTCGAGCAACTGTATCATCAAAGCTGAAATCGTGCGCGTTGTTTGGCAAAATGTAGTTAATGTATCTGTCATGTTCAACCGTTCCGAGTTTTCGTAACAAAAGGCGAACTTTAGATGCATCATCGAGACCTGACAACTCTGCCCTGAAAACATCTTCATAGCGCCTGAACCACGCATCGAATATTAATCCTGAGTCAGGATCGAATATGAACTCATTAACACTACTGATCATCGCATCCGCCGAAGGCTTCCCATTGTTCTGAACGACCGTAGGCTGCACAGATAACATTTGGGTGAGGGTTTCAATCATACGCAGCTGTGCTGTTTCAAATTGCTGCTGTTGCTGCAACAAAATGATTTTCAGGTCTTCCGCTGAAATTGACATCTTGATCCACTACCTTCCGTCGCCAAAAATATATGTTATGGTTTTCGGCTGACCTACCGATGACCTGCTGCTAGCGTGCACTCTGATCAGCCCGACTTCCCAAAGCAGGAGACCGGCGTACGGCTGGCAAGTATATTTGCTTAACGTCCAACTAACGGTACATTCAATTTATGGCCAAATCAATAGCCCTCAGCGTAAAACGCTCTCATTGGCTGGTTCCGTCCCATTAACAGTTTCGTTCAAATTTGGATGCCGAAAATTTAATGGCTGTTACTTATGTTCACGTCTAAATGTTAAAGAAACCACCAAACGTTCGTGTTGGGCCCTTATTCTCATGTCTGCGAAAGTGGCTGTTAGCCTGACCTCCAAACGAAACCCATGCACCTTTGTAGTACTATTTTTCATGAGGTATAGCATGTTTCTATCCAGTTTGTGGCAGTTTATGCTTAAGTTTGGACAAACGCACATACATGTGTTGTATTCGAACTGCCGTTAAATACGGATGACGCCGATCCATGTAGATATGTATACTGAAAGAATTCGACGGGGATACTCATGCCGATTTTGTACGGCCAAATTAGTACAGTGAAGCGGCACTCGGGGAAACCAGTAATAACCTTACCAGGATATGAAGGTGAACTTATAACGAACTAATATTGATTTCAGATGTTGAGAATCCAAGGCAAAGTTGGTCGGCGTAAATTCCGTGGATTGATCAAGTGGACGGTTGCCCAGGGGTAGGAGAAGACATTATTGCACGCGGAAGGGAAGCACGAGGCATACGTTCCCATTCGATTTACTAATCCAGGTCAATAAGTTGGCGTATGTGGTACGTTTACCTGCATGATAAGCATACTTGCATTTCAGGGGTTAGAGGTTGATTGAACTCCCCGGTGTGACTGCGCCTGGTGTGTGTTGACAAGGTCCCTACCTGTCTCATACCCTGCCCCTCGATTGCTGGCTCCAGGAGACATTGGTAGTTGCTGGAGGGGATGGGCTTCACCGTCCTCGTGACGGTGCTAGACGCATTGAGTGGTTCAATGCATCCTGTGTGAAACAGGCTACGGCCCAGCCACCGCCTTGTGTACGTCTGGTGTACATGGTTGCCCAATAAGACCGGCAGCTATACCACCGATAAGAAAACTTCCGATGCATCAGCGCACCATGCATCCTTCGCTTCATCATATTCACCTAGCTTGCTTGTCTGCGAATACAGTAGATCGTCAGAGGATGCTCCCACCAAAAAGGTACCCCATCTGTCTCAAATTCTCTTTCACTACCCATATTCCGCCAGCTCATGGGTCTGCCTGAAACGCAGAGAGCTATAAACATTCTTCTTGTTAATGTTCGCTCCATAAACAACAGAATGCATCATCACCTTGCAACATGTTCGTCGAAGACTCAAATTATTCTACTTACTGAAACGTGCTTTACTGACCAGGCACCAGGGCCAAATTATCACATCCCCGGATATTTTAGCTTCACTAATTACCAATGCAATAGCCGGGGAGGGGGTTCCACGATATACATCAATGAAACAATGCTCACGTCACCTTTGGTTGAGCGGATGCTTAACGACTTCGTGGACTCTGTTTAGATCACGGTTGACATAAATCAGCACAGCTTCCTCATAGGGTGCATCAGCTGTCCTCCACATATTGACAAAACTGAAATTCGACTTCCCACAGACATTCGATTGCATTGCAGACCATCCAGCTAAGTACAAACTAGTCAGCATAGACTACAATATGCCGGAACTATTGTGGCACGCGTCTACATCCCCATCTAGGTTGTGTACGTTTCTTTCGACTATTTGCTCGCAAGGCTGGTCACAGCACGTTTCGTCACCAACACGAAATGACAACATTCTAGATCTTGTATTCACTTTGTAAATTCTAGCTAGTAATGTCAAGATCCTGGACAAACTTCCGGGCAGTGGTCATAATGTGGTGCTATTAAGTTACGCTATGCCGACAGAAGCATCGAAGGCCGCCTACATTGATATACTCAACCGGCCACACTGTTCGATCAACTGCGGCACTTTCGCAACATTAGTAAGTTAGATGCAGTGGGTTAAATGTTTCCTCACATGCGACCTACATATTGCCGCTGAAACAATTTTTCATTATAGAAACCAGTTCTTAAGCACCATTGCTTCAGTTTTGCTAAAGAAGCGCCCCAACACTACTGAGAACGCTCGCGTCAGCGCCCTTGCTAAATGAAAAATCAGCAAACTGATCAGCTGTTTCAAGAAATCCCATGATTGCACCATACTATATCAGCTCCTTAATGTAATCTGCAGGTTAGAATCTGGTCGAGCCGAGAGAGGCGGTGTCATGAAGAACATCGAGCTTTCGTAGATTCAAATAAGCCAAAGAAGCTTAGAAAGGTTCTCAGGAGAAGGGGAGGATGCAGAAACTACTGTAGCACGTCCATTGTAACCTCAAAATCAACTGACGTTTCTGCAGTCATCATTAATCTTTGCAACGGTCATTTTTGTTCGTCCTTCAGCTGCCATACATATGACAAACACACCATACCGTCAAAACGGCTTACTGACGGCACGTTGTGCACAGTATACTTTCCTATGTCATAAATAAGGAAATCGATCAGCGTCATGAACCCGTCCTATAATGGTTGTTCTGGCGTCATTCCATCAGCTTTAGTGAAGCACAACGGTCCGGATATCCCTATTCTTTTGCAGAATATATTTACCTTGTCAATGAAGGCCAGCATTGTTCCGCATGGCTGGAAATACACACATGTTACGCCAAATTATAAAAAGGCCCAAAACGGGATGTTGCAAAGTACCGACCGATTAGTCATATTTCCATACTTCTTAAAGCTATAGAGAGGATTATAAAGCCTAGGACTTCTCAGATTCCATTACAAAGGAACTTAAATCAGCCAATCACAACGTGGCTTTAGTAAAAAGCGTTCTTGTCAGTCTTTCCAAGTGGACTTCTTAAACCACATCACAAGCTCAGTAGACGGCAGTAAAGCTTATAGTATCATATTCCTTGACGTGCTAAAGGCAGTTGACAAAGTGGCTCATGGCCGGCTTTTGACCACTCTAACAGAGAATGGCATTGCTGAACCTCTACTATCTTGGTTCTCCTCATACCTTGCCGACAGAACCCAAGCTGTCAAAATAGGCAATCACCCATCAGATTTAACCATTGTGACAAGTGGCCTCATTCAAGGCAGCGTACTGGGAGCACTTCTCTTCCTGAAGTAGGCCCTACATATTTTCGGTTATAAAAGTTATGTACACATTCGATCTCAGGAATCATGGGTCCATTTTTCGAAACATACAAAATGTCCTGAATGGTTAGCCCCTTAAGGTGATGACGTGCTCTCATTAGACGCTACATCCACAGCAGTTTGAAACTAGAAGAGGCTATTTATTTTACAGTACACTGGCAGTGACGATAGAAGATAGGTCGTGCTATATCCCAGTTAATTTGCAAACAATGTAGCCCCATCAATGTCCCCCATGCCTCAGTGGCTTAAGGTGCTGGCTAGTTAGCGTCTGCCTCTAGCGGTCATAGCTTCGATCCTCCTTAGAGGACCGAGGGAATGCGCACCACGGACGAGCCCCAATAGGGCCAAACTCCTCTGGTGCTTTTCCGGACTAGGTTCTGCTATATAGCTTGTGAACTACTGGGATGTAAACCTTAACAAAATTTTAGATATTGTAAAACATCATTATATTATGTATAAGGAAAAGCCGATGGGAATGGCGGCAATCGACGGTCACATAAACCCACGCACATTTGATATTTATAAAACATCCAACCAATACCTTCGTGAACTCAGGTAGTTCTTAATGGGAATACCGAGTGAGCGAACAGTAAGTGCTTCACCTACCTGGATATGTAGCGAAGCCAGGGCGTAACTCGGGATCAAGTACCCGTTCTCGTCTATTGAGGATTCGCGTTGCCACAATCTGAAGAGAAGGGATAAGGATACCCATCGTTAAGTGTCATTTGCAATCTTTTGAAGCGCACTGACCAGCAACACATGCCTTTGCAGTCTAAGACACGATGAACGAGTGTCAAAGAATCGCAAAATTTTCGTATGTTACGCACTTTTTCCTCATACCGAGTGAGATACATGCATGTGATTGAGAGAATGTGACGAATTAAAACGTCAACCAACTGTGCAGCCTTACCTCCGCTGCCCTAGGTCTTCGAACCTCCAACCTCAGAGTCACTGCTACGTTTCCATAGAAATCATGCTTAACTCGGAAAGACGTGCTAGTCACTTATCGATTTAGCTATTGATTTATTCCTCCGTACAATACCTACGTAAGTCATGACGTATGAGATATATAGTGAGCTTACATGCTGCCGAACGTCGTGTATGGTTGCAGTAAAACAGTCTTCGGCGACGTGTTGTAGTCATCCTCAATCGTTTGATATGGAGAAGTGTGCGCGAAATGTGCTTAAATAGTCTGTAACACCACCGGATAGATGAAGCTAAAAAATCTGCCGAAGACAGTTTTCGACGGTTACGTTTCCCATGCTTTAGAAAAGTGAAACTACACCGCTATACTCCAACGAACCAAAACTTTTCCTAGCTTCCTTTCAAGATCAGCGCCTATGCTAGAATACTAATATGGATCAAACATCACCACGAGACATAGCAACTGGATGAACGAAAATAGACCACTGTACAGGCAGAGTAACCGCTCTTGATCTGCTGGATTTTGGATGAAATATAATAAATACAATAATGTCAGCTGTAAGACGTAACAGCGCTTCACTGCTGAGTATACCACGAGGACACCCGGTCCTGATAGGTGGATAGAACACGAGTGTGAAAAAATTCGGCGGTATTTGATACAGTTGATTCACAAATCCAGCTTAATGTAGGCTAAATCACTTGCTCATGGGGATGGGATTTTCGATGTAATTAACTGAGGAATGGTCGCAGTAGGCTTCAAGTTAGGTAGTCCTTTATATGTCCGGAAAAGTACTGGAAGGCCGTTTCACCCTATCTGGACTTCTCAGTAATGCGCATCCCTCAACTCCATCAGGATCCTGACCGAATATAACATCAAGCATCCTCTACACATTACTAAAATATTCTAACTGTCATTTCGTACACAGCTGCCGTTAGTGGAAGCTGTGAATCTCGAAGCTAACGCTCTCCTCTGCAACATGTATAATTTTCATGGCCGTGGAGGATTTCCGGGTTAAAAGTCAAAATCGTCCACCGCCACCCACCATGGCCAGTGGCACAGCTTGCTGACTAGCGATGCAAGCCGCCAGTGGTCATGAGTTCGCATCCTGTTGGAGCCGATGGACGCGCAGTACAGAGTCCAGCTTAGACTAATCGGCCGTCTATTGCTTTATCTAATATGAAGAGGACTACCTGGTTTAAAAGCTTTTACTACAAACCTCCAGATGACTTATATGATTAATGGGCTACGGCTAGCTGATGTTTGATCAGCCTGTCGGATAGTCTGGTTTGCTATGGGCTAAGGATTGCGATGGGTGACGGTCGTACTCTTCGGTTTAGCCATCTACACGCAGCAACGAGGCGTGACGGAGTGTGTAACCCAACAGTAAACTACGAATTTAAGCATCATGACCGGCCCCTAGGTTGGATACCTTTGATAAACCAAGATGAACGAAGTTTATACACCCTGGAGTTTATAGTACAACTGAACTAATCACGTGGACAATAAATTCGATCAGGTGACGGTGGCCACTGAAACCTTGTGCGTGTGAAGGAGCGCGCGCAGATGTACTTTGAGAGAACTTACGACTTACCTTGGTAGGTGCTGCGGATCACCACGCCGATGTGAAACTAACGGGACGCATCACTTCACCCAACATTTTTGTGGTGTTCACGCTGAAGCCAATATTATTCTGCTTAACGTTAGAAATCAATTCATCCTCTGAATTAAAGCAATAGTAGTTCTTGTTCAAAGGAGATTCGAATCGAGTCCGAAATATTGTCCAGCCAGAGTTGGCCAGAGACCTAATCAATCTATGCAGTTTGTAAGGTAATGCCAATAGTAATAGTGGAGTAAGATCTGTACTGGTTAGCGTCCAATAGGTATCTGACCGTTCCTACGTGATACTGGCTGCGACCGTCCCTCAGTGGTTAGAGAGACTACGTGTTGCCGACGAGCTCTGTACGAACACATAAGCAGAGGAGCCCTAAGTACTGTACCGCTTAAGTCCATTCGTAAGCAAACACCAGTGATTTCGTTTATTCATTCTGCGAAAGACAGTGCGACACCTCTGGTTTTAAGAAACACTCCTTGATGGTTACTTTTAGCTGTTGTTTCATGACTAATGAAAAGCGAGGTTGTGATGGGCCTCTCTCCTGAACAGGTGTACATTAACGCTGCTTCAGAAGCACCAAAGAGCATTAGGCCTACCTGTTCCTGTACAGAATGGTATTCAGCCTAGCGTTCATGCCAAACTGGCACCAGTGGTAGCGCAGGGATAAGCATGACTCAGGTGAACCAAATGTCTTAGCCCTCACATAAAATGATCCGTTTCGCCGGCTCAATGGGGCCATAGTCTCTGCCTCTACGCTAATCGATTGTCCTGACACAAAACATCCACCATTGTTCAATGCGACCATAAACACCCCTTCTTCCAACGACCTTTTTCTTAGCCTCTGACCAGAGAGCTTACTCACACATCAAGTGCTAAACCCTCGCATTGCATCTCATATACGTGCCCTTCGAAATCCCTGCTTGTAATTACAAGGAGACCAAATTCAAACCAAATCGAAATCCAATTGCAAACCTGTTGACTACCACTATATCCTGACCATCTCTTTAACTTGACCGTATTTTCATAGCCTGAACCTCTACTATGTAAATCTTATAGGACCTGACACTGTAGAAATGTTGGGGAGCAGAAGATGGAGACGATCATCGAAATGTGCGTATCCCCCACACTCAGGATGACAGACCTCGAAGTGGTGATGCTAGTCCCGTAGGCTGAGTTATTCACTTGATTTAGAACTGTGTTCTTATAGGACTCTGCAGGTTGTCACTTTCACCTTTTTGGGGCGAACCATTGAGACTAAATGACTTAAATGGTCTTCTGACAAAACTCTTAGCAATGTTTAAAGATTGGGCATCGCGTATTCGTTACACGTGCTGTCAACATGATCTCATTTTCTCTTAGACGAGTTCTAAAATGCCGTAGACAAACCAATTTTAGGTTGTTGCCGCGACAACCAAGTTTTCTGGAGCCTGGTTGTCTATGAATAACGTACTCAAACCGTTGTATAAGGATGATATATTTCACGAGTCAGCTGTTCTGAGCAAGCGCACAATAATCACCATCGGCCAATTAGTCCACTCATTTCGGTTCGGAACCCCTACCTGCTTTTTATACGTGGTGTGTCAGAAAAGTTACCGTATTGGCGTCACGAAAGTACTATTCCAAACGCAAACTGCACGCTGAGTTTTTCCTTTCAAAGTACAGTTCAACATCCAAAGTTCACTGTCTTCTGGCCACGCCTCTAAGTTGACAGGTATTATGCATTGATAGCAACTTCAACCTCAAACCTTATGAATTTAGAACTCTACGTTGACCGTCCTTTTATGTTGATCGATTTGGTCTAGTCCTTGCATCAGCCAGCGTACGGCCAATCCGAATCGGCACTCTTGTCCTTTTGTGGGCCATTTCTCAGCAATTTGTAGCATATCGTTGAGCTTGCATTCATTCGATTCGGATGTATTAGCTCTACAAGATGACTACCTAGCTTCCGGATTACTTGTTGTGACGACTTTTGCTACGGAGACTCATTACTATAATAATCCAGTTTCAAGACTTCATGCATTTGTTTACACACGTTTGAAGGATATTTATTGAAGCGACTAAGCCCACAAAAAGATCGTTCTTCCTTGATATGATTTGCTGCAGCTACTTTGCACTTCTTACTACGTTGCTTCACGCCTAGAATTCAGTTGGAATTGCTCGATTACCCAAAATCGCGCGCCACTCCTTGTCACCTTGTCAACCAGTTTGCCGGCGACCAGTACAGTAACATTGCCCGCTCCTATGAGCCTTCTAAGTACGGCCCATCTTACGGGTGTGCGCAAAGGACCAAATTCACAAGAATGTCTGACGCATTCAGTCCGCCGGCCGTCAGCCACCTCACTTAGTGTGCGTGTTATGACGTGTTTTCTTGTCACCTCCACGCCTGACCCATAGAATGTTCACCAAACGTGAGCGCCAGTACCACAAACACTACTTGGATATGTCATGCTGCGAACGATTACGGTGCAGATAGCATTCCAAACATGGTACAGCGCCGCATATGTTCTTTAGAGAGTTGCGATAAAGCCCTTACCATCGGGTTAACCTGTTCTCGATGCTTTCGATCGTACCATCCGCAATGTATAGGCAAACCAATCCATGAAGTGACAGACAAACGACGTTGCTGACACATTTTGATTTTGTCCAACATGTCAAGTTATTCCAGTCGTCCGCTGTTTTTCTTCGCTCATGGAAAAGTGCAATACGATGACTAAGATAATTGCGCCGTTTTTAACCACTAAGATCACTCCCTCGTAGGTAAATATGGCCACACTAATACCTTAAGCAGCCAGCGCAAGCTCTGTCTCTAAGCCGAAGAAGAGAGCAAGACGCTCTGACCGCACTGCAGCGTTTGTGTCTCTAAATTTTCTGGGTCACCTCACTCTCATATTCAAACAAGCTTCAAATATGCCTGCTTCCACTTCTCCAGCCATAGAAGCTTCACCCGGAGATTCAGTCGTGAGACCGACAGCGCAGAGAAGAAGGCAACCCAGTGCAGATAACAAGCAGGTAAAGTACGCATCGACTGCCACAATAAACACCCTGGGAGCGACACACGTAAGTTATCTTTCGTACCGAGCACCCGTGGGGTGATTCATTTTTCACCGTGAACTTCAGTGGCGCCTTCTAAACAGCTCAAATTGCCAGC